ATGTGACTAAACAATCGGTTATATAATCTGTCCACATTTCATCCATTATCTACACACCGCTTAATCCTCACTAGGGTTGGAGGGGCCTATCCCAGCTGACTCAGGGTGAAGGCAGAAGAAACACTGGACAGGTCACCAGTCTATCACTTAGAGACAGACAACCAAGCACACTCACATTACGGACAGTTTAGAGTTGCAAATTAACCTTAGCATGTTTCTGGAGCTGCACAAGTGGAACAAGCAAACTCTGGAGACTGGAGAGCTTCTAGCTGTGAGGCGACGGTGCTAACCACTGAACCACCTCCCCATCCACATTCATTTACTAGTTTAAGTGTTACAAACCCACTTTGTTCTTTAACTTGACCTCTAAAAACTCACCTCTGTGTGGCAAAGCTACATATTTACAAGTTTTTTCTATAAAAAAATAACCCTTTCTTGCCTTAAAAGCCTCAGATGTAACTAAGCCCTCAGCTCTCTCTGCACCCACTCCTCCACATTCACACCTACAGACAAGTTAGAATCACCAATTAACCTCAGCATGTTTTTGGACTGTAGGAGGAAGCCGGAGAACCCGCAGAGAGCCCACGCTGCACGGGGAGAACATGCAAACTCAGAAAGATCCCAGACGTCCTGATCGAGGCTCTTCTAGCTGTGAGGCGATGGTGCTAGCTCCTGAGCCACCATGCAGCCGCTCTCCACGCTCATTTTTCCTCATCAGATAAGTGACACAATCCCACTTTGTTCTCTGATTTGACCCCTAAAAATTTGCCGCAGCTCGAGCACACCAGCCGACCCATGACTTTCTGAAGCTGATTCTGAAGAAAAGTTTTGATATGGAAACCCTCACCCTGCAAGTTGGCAAGATCGGCTCCTTAGATTTACACATGAATCCCCCGATGCTTGAATTTTTTATCTTTTAGGTTGTCATTGATACTCTGCGGTTTGAAGGTGGAGATGGTCAGCTTCGCCTCCATGAATGCAAATGTTCCACTAAAAGAATTCCCCCGTTGCTATTTGGCAGGAACACCTGCACTGCATCCTATTTAGTTCAAGGTGATTGTGATTAGTTTTAAAGAAATACAAACAAGACCGAGCTTTTTTTTTTTTTTTTTCCTCTCTAGCAAACTGATAATTAGGTGCAGTCAGACCGTTCTGCAGAGCGCTGTGCCGACAATAGAACACAGTCTGGCTATGTGAGACTAGTTATTTTGCATTTGAACAGTGTTTTGACTATCAGGGAACGTTTTCAATTAGTCGTGTTTCTTTTGTGGTTGTGCGGAGCCCCAGCCTCGGTCCAGCCCCTCATGGAGAGCGTTTTGTTCCCTCCACCCTGCGCATGATTCTGCCTTGACAGCATCATTGTGGCTGACGGCAGCAGGCGGGAGCCGCTGTTCTGGAGTCTCTGAAACCCAAGAGAAACACATCCAAACAGAAAATGCCAAACAGAGTTGTTCTTTTTCCCTAAGACCCTGTTCTGAAAGGGATGCAGGATGGGTCATTTATTTGGAAAAGTCGTTCAGATTCAACCCAGGAAAAAAAAAAAAAAACAGCAGGCACAAGAGGTCACAGAGAATTGTAAAGCTGCTCTCGCCGACACTGTGGTGCTGTGTACTGTACCTCCAGCCTTTTATCTATCCGTGTGTCTCCAAACAGATGCAGATGAAAACTCTGGGTTGCCGTCACGTTTCACAGCCAGGAGCTCACTCCAGGAGCAGGCGCACAACGTGGCAGAAAGAGAATGTTTAATGATCTCCAGGTTTATCTCCTGGGCTGCTCTGTTCTGCTCCACGCTGCACGAGGGACGCCGCTGTCACTCTGCGGTTTATGAGAAGTTAATAATCATTTTAAATTCAAAGAGAATCGTGCGAGGAAACCTGTTGCTGGCTACGTCGGTTGTGGAGACTTTTATTTTTTCTTTTCTTTTCAGCGGGGTGAGATTGTTCTCGACTGTTCGGTGTCAGGCTTGAGGTCAGACTTGTCTGCTGCCGTCATGGGAAGTGAGTGACGGTTGCCTTTGCACCGACACAGCACAGACGGATGCGTCAAAGCTTTGTCGTGCATTCTTTGTGCACTGGAAGTAATTGTGTTTACAAGAGATGAACAAGAGGACGACAAAAAGAGGGAAAGAATGAGACGTGACAGCACATTTGAAAAAGCTGCTTTGTCACAAGTATCTGCATTATGCACCAAACAAGAACAAAGACGGCGTATATGTTCTCCTCTGTATGCGCTGAGAGGAATAAGAAGAGCAGCCGCTAGTTTAGCAGACGGAGTCAACCACACAGAAATATATATTAAACTCTCGAGGTGCCTTATTGCTAAGTTGTGTGTGGTGCTTCATAAAGACTCTACATAATGTTTTCAAATCTTTATTTAATGAAAGTTTCAAAGCAAAGTTTCGTCTGCAGTCTGGAAGCTACAGCTGCTTTCTTCTCGTGTTACAGAAGATTAGATTCTCCATCTACTCTATGTTGGTTAATCGTGTTTTGTCACATGGTGGATGCACGCTTTCCTCCTGCGAACTGTGCCCCTCGGACGTTTTTTTTTTTTTTGTGTGTGAAGCGGAGCAACGTAACTAGCTGTGGATATTTGGTACAGCTGGAGGGTTACAGCTGTGACAACACAAACATGAACTGTTGGCGTTATCACAGCTGGAACTAAAATGTCCCACGAAGGGAACAAATAAAGTGAAACAAAAGAATCCTCGGATGGTGCTATCAATTTCAATTAGAGTTACAGCAAAAATTGCATAATAATATGTATTGAACTGCTGGCTTTGCTGTAGAATGTGATCTTGCAGCACCAGCTCTGGTAACCTGATCAACCTTTAACCCTGTTCAGGACTTTTGGGGTCTTTTGGACTCCAGGACATTTGGTTTAGGTGACATGTATTGTTTTTTTTTATTATTATTTTGTTTTGTTTTAGGGTTAGGGTTAGGGTTTTTTGCTAAATATAAAAAGTAGTGATGCGCAATATTAAAATTTCTGTCCGATACGATATATTCGATATTAAGATTTCTGATATCGCGATAACCGATATTATCGATGTCGCTATTCAATTTTTGTTCACACCGAGAAATGAATATAAATAAGCACTGTGAGAATGTGACAACTATTCACAAGAAGCCCGTACCAAATCAGACCACATAGTCTTCTTTATTACGTAACAAACATATTTTAACATATTTAACGTTCAAGTCCAGAACCATTTTAATAAAATCGTCTGTGAAATAGCAGCAATATCAAATGTAGAGACGAAGGCGCTAATGTTAGACAGTCATCGGCTAAATGTGTTCATCGGACCGATGCCGATTTATCGGAAAAAAAACACTAATCACTTTGAAAATTTGATTTATTTATTTTGCTTTTTTTTTTTTTTTTATCCCCTTTTGTTTCTCTCTTCCTATATATCATATATATATTTATTTCATGTGTGTTTGTCCTTATTTTTATTCATTTCTTAACATTGTTTCGGTGTAGAACAGTACGCAAAACATTTTACTGCAAGTTATGCCATGTATGACTGTGTTTGTGATAAATAAAGACCTTGAACCTTGAACCTAATGTCAGCCGATACCAATGTGGTCGCTGATATATTGTGCATCCCAAATAAAAAGAGGGGCATTTGCATTGCATTTGAAACCAAAACTACATCAACTTATCAGAAAATTAATTTAACATAGTGTAAAAGTTCATAATGAATACCAATAAATATTTTGCACATATTCTTTCTTGGGGTTCAATGGACTCCAAAAGACCTTCTACATATGGTAAAGTCCTGAAGTCTCTCTCTCAAAGGATGCAGCCCAAACTTCCAACAACAACTGCCATCCCTCAAAGTGATGTCACTGAGTTTAAAAGAATACAAAAAACAAAAAATTTAAAAAACAAAAATCTGAAAAACTGAACTGAATTTTCATTGGAAATCAGACAGGAAGTGGCTCTGTCTCAGCCTTCTCTGGCTGCATGTGGACCATCCCTCCATGAGCACCTTCAGGCCATCTGGAGCTGAAACAACTTAGATTTTTGAGCACTTTGTTTTTTTCTCCTTTAAAGCTAGGTGGAGCATCACTGGGGGGTGCAGAGTTGGACCTTTAGAGGATCAGTTTTAAGGGGACTTTAATTGTGTGGTTTCAGGAATGGGGTCCCTCTGTGTTGAGAAAGTTATCTGCCCTGTCCCTGCTGCTCACCACCTATTGGCCTGACTGCTTATTTAACTGACCCTCCAGCTCTGCACTCCTTCACACTGTCCCCCTGCAGTTTTTCCTCTTCTTAGCGCTCCTTCCTCCCCTCATGGCAGATGCGATCTTCTCCCTCGCGGCCCCGAAAGCCTTCGTTTTCCTGGTGAGGAGGCACTTTATTTAAAGCTTAAATATCAAAGCCATCATACAAAGAAAAACAACAACATTTACGCTTGAGCTGCGCCGCGTTCGAGCTGCGAAACAAGGCCCTACTTTATCATTTTGTCAAAGTGCTGACGTCCTCGAGTCATATGTCATCTATTTAAAATGAAAAACCAAACTGAGGCTCCTGCTAGTTAATCTTTTTTCACAGATAAGTATCGCTGCTGATAAAGAAGCTTTCATGCGATTGACTGTTTCTTACTCCCACTTTCAGGGTCATGCAATTGATATGTAGGGAGTATTAGAACGCTATGTGAGGACCGAGTGCAGGCGCCTGATTATCTGAGAATGTATGTCGTCTCGAGTCGTCCCTTGCTTCTCCGCGCTCCTCACCTCCAATGCAAGCACAAGTTATAGGTGCTTTATGGTGGGGTGGGTTAAAGTTTAATGACTTTGTGATAGTTACATATTGAGAACCACAGCAAAAGCCTATTACCTGCTGCAGACTCACACAAGCGAACAACCTGCCGCAGAGGCCCCGAGAGGAATCAAGGTAAGGCAGAAAATTGTTTTACATGTCTGGGAAGGTGAATCTCAAAAAATGGAATCTAACACCAGAGATTGGATCCAGATTCTTCAATTCTGTTGTTTTACCTCATAAATTGTCCTCTTTTACTTTAAATTGCTGAACTACTTTGACAAGTGAAAGCAGGTGAGATTTGTGTGTGTGTGAATGCTTTTGTGTACAGTGACTGTTTTGGTTTTTTTTTTCTGCGCTGTGCAACTAAATCAATACAATTCTCCTGTTATGCAATACGGTTCCATTCCTTTGACAGACCAAAGAAATCTGCATGACAGTTTAGGCTTCGGGGGTTTTGGAGGTAATATTCAGCTCAAATACTCCAGGCTCTCTTTCTTTCCATTTGTCTTATTGGCTGCAGAAAGTGCTGCCGGGGGGGTTACGCTGATTGCCTCACAGTCAGATCATCTCGCTGACACAAAAGTGCTCTGCGGTGTAATTCAGACGACTGCACTTTGTTAGAATTTAGAGGCTCGCTTTCTAGCAGAGACCCTCCATAAACAGGCATTTCAAAATCCCTGTTTGTTATGAGTAAAGCCTACATGAGTACTTATTTGACGAGCGGTAGGAAGTGATGTAATTCTGGGGAGAATATTCAGACACACGACCGAAGAGTCACAGTCGCTCTTTAGCCCGATGAGCAGTGATAAGATGTGGTTGATGATTTGGTGTTGAATCAGAAAGGGAATGGATTCCATCAGCCTCACTTTGCTTACAACGGCTGTATTATTTATGTTTTGCATAAATACTGTGTTGAATCCTTCTGTGGTGTTTGGGTGATTTAGATTTTCTCCAAACTGACTTGAGCGACATTTGTCTAGAACATGACCTGACCAGTTGGAGCACATTTGTGTAATAGATATTGGATTAGTGAAACGGCTATTTAAGCCAGTTAATGTGTTTCCAGACTTGGTGAGGAGCTTCCCCGTCTACTCTGAGGGGCAGATCAGTAGCACCGCGGCAAAGATAATGAGTGAGCCGTTTGTAGTTACTTACTTACTTCCATATAGTGCGTGTTACGTAATTCACCTGTCGCTCAGGAGACACACACACACAGATTCACCTTCTTGGTAATAAGCTGAAGTGTCCAGACAGCACAGGCAGATAACAAGGGAAATATTATCTCACACAGTAGCATGTGTCCTCATTTTTTATCACAATTAATATTTCAGCAAACAGCTGTCATCAGAGGGTTTTGAATGCGACTTGCAAAAAAAAAAAAAAAAAAGTGTCCTGGATTTAATTTGTATCCATTAATACATAACAATTTCTTTGCCAAGATCTCTGTAGTAAATTCTTATCTTAGTAGGCTAGAAACCAAGCAAATAATCAGCGGGATTGATTTGATATGTTTAAAAGTAGGTCAATAAACCTGAACAGGTTCAAAATCTGTGTGATGTTCAAAGTATTGCAAAAGCCATTCCTAAGTCATTATTGTTTTGGATTTATGTTTAACTCTTCATGTTTCTGTCGCTTGTTTTTACCAAGTGCAGCATTTTGCAGGTGCATTTTTGTTAAAAAATGCAAATTATGTTGTTTTTTTGTCTTCTTCTTCTTTCGTCAGGATTAAATAAATTATTTCGAGATCTTCAGCCTCAAAAATGACCAAAAAGACAGTGGCCGTGGCACTGACGCTGCTGCTGTTGGCAGCTGCTGCTACGTTTCTGGGCGTCTTCTTCGGCATCGGGAAGAAGAAGCCCTCAGGTGACCAGGTTTACCTGAAGGCGGCCGTGGCAGCGGACGCCGGGCCGTGCTCAGAGGTCGGCAGGTGAGGGTTTGTTTCCACAACTGAAGATGCTGCAGACAAACATGCAGAATAAACACACACAAACTCAGCTGTGAAACCTGCTAATTTGTCCCTGTCTCTGCCTACACAGTCCTAAGATCTGAAGTGTAAAAACCAAATCTCCGCTCCTTCCCTCCCCCTTGTGTGTTTTAATTATTTTTTACCACAGAGACATGCTGCTGAAAGGGGGGTCTGCAGTGGATGCCTCTATAGCTGCTTTACTGTGTGTCGGATTAATGAACGCTCACAGCATGGGCATCGGAGGAGGGCTTTTCCTCAACATCTATGATGCAGCAACCGGTACAATATTCATCTCCAACGCAAAAATTCCCTTAATGTTTGATTTCTTACAAACACAGCGCAGCCATACAACTTCCTGTTTTTGTTGTGCGAACTCTTTACAGGGAAAGTTGAGGTCATTGACGCCAGGGAGACGGCGCCACGCAATGCAACCGAGAACATGTTTGGCAACAGTACAGAATTATCCTCCAAAGGTAATGTTTAACCAGTTATCAGACACGAAAAGGAGCTGAGGAAGCTCACAATCGGCAGATAACCACATGATAATAGTGACAAAGATTAGTGTCAAGAAGCTACAGCAGACGCAAAGCTGACAACGTGTAAATAAAAGTAAGGTGAAGCATAACTACCTGCTCATTGGTGTTGGTAGGAGGGTTGTCCATCGCTGTACCAGGGGAGATTCGAGGTTACCAGATGGCGCACCAACGCCACGGTAAACTGCCTTGGAAAGACTTGTTTGCGCCCAGCATTGAACTTGCAGAAAAGGGATTTCCTCTGGGCAGGGCGCTGGCCAAGGCTGTGTCCCAAAACAAGAAAACCATCCTTAACGACCCGGCCCTGTGGTGAGAGACAGCAAACCTTCAATCACTCGTCTGATTATCTCACTTTAAGGAGAACCCTACGTCTTCAGCCATCGTTTCCCCTCTTCTCCTTTCAGTGAGGTGTTTTGTGGGGCAAAAGGTGACGTCCTGAAAGAAAACGAAACCGTCAAATTTATCAAACTGGCAGCGACCTACAGGAAAATAGCCGAGGAGGGTCCTGACGCCTTCTACACGGGAGAGCTGGCTCAGAACCTCGTGGCAGATATTCAGGCAGCAGGTAGAGTTTTTAGAAGCATCCAAGAAACTGAATGTTTGCAAGCGAATTCTAAAGTCCTTCTCTGGTGAATATCTCTTTTTTTTTTGGTCTTTGTGTATGGTCCATATGCTAGAAGACACACACACAAAACAGTCAGTGCCATAGCTGAGCATTTCCACCTGAAAACTGAAGTGTCCCAAATGTGCAGATTTCTGGGATTTCACATGAAACAAACCAAACACACCAATTCTTCTCCTTCTAAGTCAATTTCTGTCTCGAACATTTACGGCCGAAGTTGAATATTACAGCTTGTCATTGTGTAACGGAGAGAAATTCAACAGTCGTCATGTTCCATAAAATGCTGTAAGAAAAGTGGGGATTAAAGTCCAACACTTGACGTCGTCATTGAGGCGGTTCCCTAAAGGCCAATTCAGATCTAGGCAAACAAATCAATCCAAAATGGTGAAGAGCGGTGATGAACTGAACATTAGAGAATCAGTGGTGAACTCATTGCTTCCTTGCTGCTGCTATCTGAACTAGGATGAGTTTGCTTTGTGGAGGCAAAATAACCTCAAAGTAAGCCCGACTAGCCAAAAAAAGCCTGGATTATTTGGTAAAGCTTATAAGGGAACAGGCCCCTGGTGTGTTTGGCTTCATATACCTGCAGATTCTAGAACAGGGGTGTCCGATCCCGGTCCTGGAGAGCCACAGTCCTGCATGTTTTAGATGTTTCCTCTCTTCCAACACACCTGATTCAAATGATCAGCTCATCGTCAACCTCTGCAGAAGCCTGATAATGATCCTGATCATTTGAATCAGGTTCGTTGGAAGAGGGACACATCTAAAACATGCGGGACTGTGGCCCTCCAGGACCGGGATTGGAGACCCCTGTTCTAGAAGAAGCAACAGTTTAGATTTAGATCTTAACTACTTTAAAGCAGGTAGAGATTATTGTTGTGGAAAATACTTCTAAATGTGTAACTGATGCACAGAAATGAGTGTTTAGGGGTTTAATCAATGACCAGAGAAGGGCTGTAACACCTGCAGAAGGAAAATGGATGAGGATAGATTATACAACCAAGAGTTTAGTCACATATATGCTTCATGGAAATGTCCTCCTAATTTACCGTATACAGTTTAAATATATATATATATAAAAAACACCATATGTTGAACTGACCCCAGACGCAGAGCAAACAGTTCAACTAACCTATCACTACCGGTAGCAACATCAACTTTCTGCTTTCATGATTTAGAGTGAAGAAGCACTGAAAACAGACTCATCTTTTACATCTTTATCTTACAACGAGAGCAGCTGTTTGCACAGATTGGATCGTGTCTCTGTACCCACAAAGCAAAAGAACATTATCATTCTCCTCATTCTCCTCTGCCATTTTCACTAGAAGTCATTTGCTCCGAGACTCCAGGCGATACTCACATGCACCTCTCTGCACATCTAGTTCCCGGGGTGAGGAGGATTTGTATCATCAGTTTCTGTCCAAGTGTGCATTCACAGTGTTTGTCAATCCGTGTTTAGGCGGCATCATCACAATGGAGGATCTGAAGGATTATGTGCCTGTCTTGGATGAGAATCCTCTGAGGGTGAATGTGGGGGAGTACACCATGGCTGTTCCCAATGCCCCTGCTAGCGGCCCTGTGCTAACGCTGATATTAAACATCTTGAATGGTAAGCCTTGATGCTTTGTCCAAAAGCATCCCGAGTGGGAGGTGAATGTGCTTTAATGTCAGTCTCACAGAAAGGACTCGACTGTAAGCAGCGTGTTGATCCACCGTACAGTAAATCTGCGCTTAAAATACAATTTAAAAAAAAAAAAAAGCCTTTTCTAGCTTAATGTTACCTAAGAGCTTGAGCAACATTGTGAAATACAGACTGACATTTGTGATGCTCTGTCAATGGCAGCAAATATAATCCGGGATGTAAACAAAAGCAACATTATTTGGAAGAATGTGCAAGTAATTTTCACTTTACTGGATACTGTCCTCGCCAATAAACTAACCGGTATCTGGATTGAACTAAAATTAAAAACCTATGAAAGGCTGAATGAGGGCTTTTAATACATTTTCATGCTTCCATCCATCCATCCATCCATCCATTATCTATACACCGCTTCATCCTCACTAGGGTCATGGAGGGCGGGAGTCTATCCCAGCTGGACAGGTCACCAGTCTGTCACAGGGCCACACTTAGAGACAGACAACCAAGCACACTCACATTCACACCTACAGACAATTTAGAATCACCAATTAATCTCAGCATGTTTCTGGACTGTGGGAGGAAGCCGGAGAACCCGGAGAGAACCCACGCTGCACACAACATGCAAACTCCACGCAGAAAAATCCCAGGTGTCCTCACCGGGTGGCCTTCTAGCTGCGGGTGCTAACCACCTGCTCCACCGTGTAGGCCCATTTTCATGCTTGTATTTAGTTTTTTTTAATTACAAAGAGTATTTCCTCAAGTACATTCTCGTAGCCAACTCTGCTTTTTTTAACTGCTGATCCGAGCACTTTTAGTCTGTTATCTAACTCATTCCAGTGGGATTTTTTTGGTATTTGTGAATTTTCTAATCAGTTAAAGCAGTTTTGCCTAATTTGAAAATTAGGAAAGTGTATCTGAACAGTATATATTTATACATCATAAATTTACGTTTGTTTAATTTGCGCTGCTAGATAATAGGCTCTTTTTTTTCATCTTTTAAAGTTATTTTTTTGGTCTTTGTGCCTTTATTGGATAGTGCTAGTGAGAGAGAGACAGGAAAGTAGGGGAGAAGAATGGGGGGAGGACATATGGGAAAGGGTCATGAGCGGGATTCGAACTCATGACCTCCACATTGGGACTGTAGCCCTGTACATAGGACACCAACTCAACCAGGGGAGCTATAGCGGCGCCCCAGCCTCTTTTTTAAAATGATTATTTTGTGGTTTGTGCAGTGAGAAATCCACAAGTGCCATCTTATCTGTTTTTTTTGTACCACATATGGCACAATGGCACAAATAAGGTGCTAAAGTTTGAATTAACTTCATCCAATCCAGAGAAAGGAGTTAAAACCCACGAGGGAGCCATTCTGACAGACGATCTAAAGATAATTGCCGTCTTTTGCTACCTTCATCACTCATTATTTTAATCATGTATAAATCCTGCGTGCATCATTATAGAGCAGAATATATCTTTGTTGTCTAATGAGGTGGACATTTTTCTCTCTCTTGGCTGCTCACATACTTCAGCGTTGACCATAAAATCCAAACTGTTGGTCTGTGAAGACACTGTCTTCCCGCTTCAGCTGCTTCTCAGTACAGTGACAGTGTCTGCCTCTGAGGATTAGTCGAGAAACTTCCTCCTAAAGTAATTAATCTCCCCAAACCTTTCCTTTCCTGTGACTGACCACCCACTCACTGTGCCTCCCCCCCACCGCCTCACACACTAACACTAATCTCACCAATTTACCTCTAATTGGACACAGCTGAGTGCATGAAGCTTCACGCACACATTGCAGTCACCGGCCAAAACTTTCATCCTGCTGATTATTACCGTGACGCCTGTCTGTGTCCGACAGCTGAAACCCATCAAACCAAAACTCCCCCCCCGGTTCCCTCAGCCTTTCCTGCTCCTGTTTCCTTCTGTGGCTGTCAGATGGGGCTAATACCCGTGATCTGGTCGCTGCAGCTTTTAGACTAAATAAAAACACAGGAACTGCCTGGGTCAAGTCCATTCTGTCCGTTTCCTCTTTGTATTCCTGAAGTGCCATGTGAGCGAAGACAGATGGGTGAAGCTTTGGTCCCAACTGATCGATGGCGATTGTTGTTGTGTTTTTCTATTTTCAGGGTACAACTTCAACCCCGACAGCATGGCGAGCACTGACAAACAGATCCTAACCTACCATCGCATCGTGGAGGCCTTTCGTTTCGCTTATGCAAAGAGAACTTTGCTCGGAGATCGGGCGTTTCTCAACATCACAGATGTAAGGTCGCGGCCGCTGCTTTTAGTTTTGGTTCAACCATACAAATTTTTCCCAGAGGCAGCTCCTCTTTCATTATTAGAAAGAAACGTCCTTCACCTGCTGAAGGACTGAGAGTGTATTCATATTGTTGATGAGAAATAACTTTTGTACGTGGAAAATTTCAAATTTGTCAACCTTTGACCCGAGCTGCTTGAATGATCAAAATCGGTACCATGACTCATGTTTCTGAATATGTAGACCTGTGCAGTAACAGACCAACATGTTTTGATCATTTAATTGGTGAAATAACAGCTTCCAGGTTTGTTAAAAACACTCTGAGGCCGTCTATTGCTAACGACGTTAGCATCGGAGCTAATGTGGCGCATTATAGCACCATTTTGAAAAAGTAAATGCTGCAATCTAAGCAGAATTTCAGTGCAGCATCTTTGTTTTTACACTCTGTAAGGTCAATATGATGCAATATTTTACTTTTATATCTTGTTTGCTTTGACGTGGTTTAGTATGAGCGGCAGTGTGTACCAACAGGGGGCACCAAAGTCCAAAATTCTTCAATTTTGAGCCTAAATTTTAGTTTTGCATGCAGCTTTTTATGACCTACAGTTACAGTTTTAAAAAATTAGGCAACCACTAGTGGTCGTAAGAGCAGGTATGTAAAATGACGCCTAGTGTCGTCACCATGAGGCGTAGTGGGACTCATCACTTCAGTATGTAGATAGATAGATAGATAGATAGATAGATAGATAGATAGAACTTTATTGATCCCTTTGGTAGAACCTCAGGGAAATTGTTAATGATGAAGGGTGTACTTTAAACCAAATCATGATCTTTTCTTAAACCTAGCTGATGGTTAAATCTAATCGAGCAGCGAGTGAAAACAACACTTAAGCTCAAAAATACAAAGCAAAGCGAGAAGGTCTTTCTAGCTGGTCTCCTGGGTGACAAACCTTTTACGTGTGCCTCAATCATCCGTCCAACCTTCTTTTGCGGATTTTGATTGCTCTTTGGTTGAAGGAATTGTTGAAATTTTTTTACTCATGGCCATTACGAAACAAATATCTGGGTCTTTGTTGTTGCAGTTTTTAGATTTATGAAGGTAATTTGAAATCTTTCTGGCCCAAAGCTCATCCAGAACATGACTTCAAACGCCTACGCCGACCAACTCCACGATAAGATCACAGACGACACCACGCATCACATGAACTACTACGAGCCGGAGTTTTACATGCCTGACGACCACGGGACGTCGCACCTGTCTGTGGTCGCGGAAGATGGAAGCGCCGTGGCCGCCACCAGCACCATCAACCTCTAGTACGACCTCTTCAAACACATTTGTCGATCGGTCTTACGCCTACAGCTCAGCCACGGTTGTTGTTTTCCTACAGTTTGGGCTCCAAAGTCATGTCAAAATCAACGGGGATAATTCTCAACAATGAGATGGACGACTTCAGCTCCCCGCTAATCACCAACAGCTTTGGCGTGCCTCCTTCACCGAGCAACTTCATCAGGCCAGGTGAGATTGTGAGCAGCGTGCTCATACAAACACAAGCTGAAAACACACTTACGGAGTCCTCGAGACCCTTAAAGCTGTAATATGGATTAGTTTCTCAGCCACAGACGGATTAAAGGTCACGCAGATGTCAACCTGTCCTTCTTGACACTGTACACGGTGTTGCTGGCGATTGAATAAGACAAAGGAGAAAAGAAACATGCGCTTGTTTTCTGTTAACTTAATTAACTTCTATCTTCTAAAAGGAAAGAGGCCCATGTCTTCTATGTGTCCCACCATCATTTTTGACAAAGACAACAATGTGAAGATGGTGGTCGGAGGTTCAGGAGGAACAAAAATCACGACTTCCATCGCTCAGGTGAGAAACGCACGGTCATGGTGACGCTGCATTTTTTTCCCCTTCTTTACTATTGAGATTTCATCGCTTGTTTCTCCGCAGGTGATTCTGAACGCGCTCTTCTTCAACTATGATGTGAGTAAAGCCGTTGTACAGCCGAGGGTCCACAACCAGCTGAGTCCCAACGCCACCGTGGCCGAGCCCGAGTTTGACAAAGTGAGTGTCACCGGCAGCAAACGACGCTGATACGTGTAACTAATAGCCGGCCGGCGTGGCGAGCAGGGGGACGATCCTTCATCCGAAACCCCAGCAACAACACCGAAACGCCTCAACCACGGCCGGCACAGGGGACGCTCTTCATTATATTTACCTTCAGGGATCAATGCAGCGCAACAACAGAGAGGAAAGCCAAAATCATAGTCTATGGCTAGAAATGGGCATCTTATCTGATAGTAGTATCAATAAATTAAAGACACGCTGGCTGGTTTTTAGTTTATGATGTGATTAAACTTCATAAAAAATTTTATGATGATAAAGTACACACCCTAATATGATATCTTTCAAATACGTATTCTGATGCTTTTCTGAACTCCTCCTACGCCTTTACAGAAGATAGTCGAGTTGCCAGGTTGAGGCTAACAGATCCTTATATGTGTTGTTATTTCAAATAGAACGTATTCATTCTAGTGAACATGTATTCTCTAGAGCAGCTTAGCATGACTTTAAAGGGTAAGAATTGATTTTTGAAATGTGTTTGTACAAGTCAGTCTACACTTGAAGAGATAATTTGCAAAAGCAGATAACTCCATTGTTGTAGAGTTTCAGAAAACTTATTTTTTTTGTTGTTTGCTTGAGATGATATCAATCAAACTGAAGCTGAGTGGATTTGACTCATGATGAAAATAGAGATAACTTAAGTTTGATTGATACTGTCTCAGGTAGACGATGGGAAAGTGGGATTTCTGAAGGTTTGTGAAGATGAAGTTATCTGTTTTTGCAAATAAACTCTTCACTTTTAAAACCGTGCTGCTCTTTCCTAAAGTTAGACGCTGCAGAACTAATTCTTCAACAGGATGTAAAATCATTTGCTACTCTGAGAACAAAGAAAATCACATTTGTTCCCACCAAATTCTTGTTCTGGCCCTAAATACAAGCTTATTTTAATGTTACCACTGGGCAGCGCATCTCATCCTCTTTGATTTCTCAGTTATTGAGAAAATGCTTGTCAGGAAAACACTTTAAGTCAACACACATCCTTAAAACGGGCCTTATTTCCTGTTATTAAACCAAACCCAGCACTGTTGATACATGACACAACCGTATAGCTATTTCTGCACAGAATCTTCATCAGGACATGCTTTGCTTTACAGAACGTCCTGGAAGGTCTGGCACAGAAGAACCACGAGACGGAGTTCCTGAAGTCAACGGGAGCCGTGGTGCAGGCGGTGCTTCGCGTCGACGGCGGGCTGCAAGCTCAGTCCGATCCTCGCAAGTGGGCGTACGCGGCGGGATACTGAGGTCGTAAACACACCTCTGCTCATGCCGAGAGACTGTAGCTGTGTGAACCTTGACACCGGCGATGCCACCTGAGAGATTAGAAGCTTAATAAAGATCCAGCAGCAGCCGCCGTCAGCTCGTCTCGGGCACCAGTCGTTCTGTTCCTAAGCCGCAATAATGTTCACGTACTTTGTGCCTCGGCTGATTCTAAAGTCTACTGGATTCAAGTCACATTATTTAACGTCGTTAACTGATTTCCGAGGCACTGCGTTGTTTTACGGCTTTACTGTTTTAAGCTGAAATGTGAAAACAATGACACTTGTAAATGTTCAAATCTCCACCAACTGACGAAACACAGTCGTAAACGTGCACAATTCTTATCTATTTATGAAGCACTTTGGTAAATCATTAGCAGTGTCGAGCTATCTCACTTCATTGTTTTCCAGTAAAGATCTGATATGTTTTATCTACAGTAACTGCTAATGACTGGCCTCTGAATTAAGGGAGATAATAACAGAAAAAAACAGACGGAAGACAGAGACTCCTGTTTACTTCCAGTCCTTTAAAACTTTTACATCCTGCAGCCAGACTGTTGATGAGAGGTGACGCAGAGATCAGGCGGGAGCTGCTGTTAAAATGAAGGACTGGAACACCTCAGTGTCAAACAGTCCCACAGAATATATATAATGACTTGCAGTAATTTCCCCACAACCCAGAGTGCAACGGCCTGTAGTGACCTCGTGACAACATTGCAGCTGTTGCTGCCCACAGTCAGCGGCGGGATTCTCTCTCCTCAGCTGCAATGCAAATGACTTATTTCTAAGCAAGTGTCAAATCAATGTTCTGCTGCAGACGACTGGTTCATGCGTGATATGAACAAAGTGGTTTAATATTCATGACATTTCCCTGATATATAAATATATATTTATTAAAATAAATAAATATATTACAATCCCAGTGTGATTGGATGCATTTTTTCAATTAATTTGATCAAATGTGTACAAAAGACACTGGAATTTTAAAAAATATGTATATATATTATTCTTATTATTTTTAAATTTTCTATAGTTTGAGACAATTACTTAGTGAGGTGTGGCACAGAAACTAATATCTAGTTTTGTTTTGCATGACAAACCACTGTAGGCACAAATGAAGAGTTCATTTGCAAAAACAGATAACTCCATTTTTGTAGTTTTTTTTCAGGAAACTTATTTTTTTGTTGTCTGCTTGAGATAATATCAACCAAACTGAAGTTGAGTGGATTTGATTCAGAAGAAATGACAAAAATATAGAGATAACTTAAGTTTGATTGATATTGTCTCAGAGAGACGATGGGAAATCGGGTTTTCTGAAGGTTTATAAAGATGGAGTTATCTGTTTTTGCAAATAAACTCTTCATATACACCACTTTTTGGACGCTTACTTTAATCATCACTTATGCAGGCCTCACTGCCTTATAGAAATACACCACGAGGACTCATACATACTGGGATATTTTATGCAACCCTTAATTCATTAAAAAAAATAAAATAAAATGAACTCAAACAAAAGCACTGTTTAGGTGTGGACCATTTATCATTTGAGTTGTTCCACTATTACAAATCATCAGTTGTACATCAAACAAATTCTGCTCAACCATCACGGATGTTTTGGAATTTTTCAAATAATAAACTATGAATATATATAAAGATATTTGGAAAATTTTAGCTTGATGTATCAAATACTTACCGATATACATATATAAATATAAATTTTCATTGTTATTTCTCATTGTGCCGTTGATCGAGGAAACGACAACACCGAACAAATAGATCAAATAATCTCTGAGCATGGAGGACTTGAAATGTAATAAAATAAAATAAAATTAAAGCTGTCATTAAAAGGTCCATCTTCATATACTCTATTTTATATATCAAGTTCAAATTTCACACCATTTTTAAAAAGTTTATAGCAAATCAGAGACGGTTGAGCAGAAGGCCGCTGCTGATTTATTATGAAATAAATCTTTTACCATTTATTTGTCTGACTGAAGTAACTGTAGAAAGGCGGACATGCAGGTTCTCACCTCATCACAGAGTTTGTGAGTTAACTGATAACAACGGTAACACACCTATGACCACATTAGTGAGTGAAAGTCGGCTGTAAAAACAGCCGAGGCAGACAGGAATGTCATTAGCTCTGTAGATCCGTGATCATTGACAGGAATAGTTGTGGTTCCGGTGCGCCAACATGAATGTGTAACGAATCTTTAATCCAACCACCACACTCCCTCAATTACACCAAATAACCACAACGTGTTTGCGGAAAGAAAAATAGAGTCATAGGTCGTCTCAAAGTTAGTCATCACCTGAATTTAACCTCCTGTCATGAGCAGGCTTTTGTTTAAGGTCTAACCTGTGGTGGTTTGATGTTGAGGCTCCTACACAGAACATCCTCATCAAAGCTTCCTTTCAGACTTCACACGCCGACTATTTCACATATGGTCTTTTCCTTTATGCATATATCATCAGTATAGTTCATTAGTGTGGTTTTTCACTCTCCTAAATAATTCCTGTTTCAGCACATCTTATAAATACATGTACCACATAGTTAGAATGTCCTGTTCGCACACACAAACCAGATTAGAATTTCCAACAAGTGCTCGTTCAAAACTCCACGACGATCCATTCATTCTTCCTAAAACATTTCAGTCTGGACCACAGCGGTGCGCCGACACACACACTCGACGATCCCATCTGTCATTAGGCGAGCACGACTACAGTGGTGTTTGTCACAACCCTGCTCAAGGCTCGACAAAGGCCAAACTGGAAATAAGTTTATGTTACTGAACTGAAATGGAAATAAACGTAGAGAAAACACAACAGCTGTAAACAGGCGCTCACACGTTGCAGGTGATCTGAACGTCCCTGATCATGTGTTTTCAGAGACGCCTGAATGTGATGGTTAATGTGGGATTAGGTCTCATTGCTGCTTAGAGAGCAGATCCTTGTCTCCAAATCTAATAACCACTGCCTTTGAGGACAGTTCCTTCACTTAACTTGATCTTATTTGTACATGTTTTTAACACAATCATTAACAAGTTTAGACATGAATACCATTATTGGCAGTTGAGCTGTACGGTACGGTGGCCCAGAAGTGTCACAACACAACCAAAAGCCACAACACAAGCAAAAGCCACAACACAACCAAAGCCGCAACACATCACAATAAGCCGCAACACATCACAATAAGCCACAACACAACACAATTAGCCGCAACACAACACAATAAGCCACAACACAATTAGCCGCAACACAACACAATAAGCCACAACACAACCAAAAGCCACAACACAACCAAAAGCCACAACACAACACAATAAGCCACAACACAATTAGCCGCAACACAACACAATAAGCCACAACACAACACAATAAGCCACAACACAAGCAAAAGCCACAACACA